GTCAATGCAGAGACCTATAGTCAGGAACTGGAACGTTTAAATCAAGCCCTTCATCAGAAACGCCCTTCTTCCCCACCCACCATATTCTCCCGATATGGTACCATCTTTTTTGTTCGCTGCAACACCATCTTAATGGGGAAACGTATGCAAATGTGGAAGGTGTTAGAGATGACATCGACATGTGTTTGCTTCAAAGCCAAGTGATTTCTTTAATCAGGGCAGTACCAACCTGACTGTGCGATGGAAAAGCATCATCGATAAGAATGGAGACTATTTCATTTAATAAATGTTTTGTTTTGATGTTCAAGTTGTTCGGGTTTTTTTCATCTAAAAAAGCGACATTAATTTCTTGACGACCTAATAATATAACGTACTAAACCATCTGTACAGAAGTCATTTTCTTTATTCATTGTTTACTAATAAGTTATGAAAACTTAGTTTCACAATAACCAATAAAATAAGAGGGTTCATGGTTGAGAATGATTTCTTGAATTCAGAAGCGAAACTTAAGAAAATAATTTTCATTAATCGTCAATACGGCTTAAACATCTTATAGAAAATGTTTAAACAGTTGAAATCAAAACACGGAAGTTCAAAATATGATTAATATTTAATATTATTTTGTCATTTAGATATAGTGAACTTTTACATCTTAACAAAGTTGGCAATTTTTCCAATACAGGGCTTTCCATGAAATAATAAAAGCTTTAGTTTCTCCATTCTTGGTACGTTGTATTTAAATGTTAAAATTTGTCACTAAGACATACTTAATTTTAAGACCTACATATTTATTAACGAATTTCTAATTGTTGCTCTTAAGCTAAGAAATTCTTTTACACATTTCAGAAAATATTACACTAAAATCAAAATTGTAAAAAATTTTAAATTATATTATTTCCAGCTTTATTCTTCAGGTAAAAATTGAAAGATAATTCAACAAAATCACATGAAACTGAAGAAGCTAACTATTTCAGACGAAAAAGATATGACGAGTTATAAGTAATTAACATTAGCCATTACAATTTCATTTCAAACACTTAACTGCATCTTATGTTCAGCTTATTTCTGTTAAAATTGTTGGTATCAATCAGAAATGCACACTTACTCGTTAATCCTATAAGCTATTGAAACATTTTTTTTTTCTAAATGTATTTATGCACCAAATTACTTGTGGGTCCATGAATTTGTTGGTTACAGGTTCCCTAGTATAATACGAGTCACCCAAGTACCGTAAGTTTTGCAATTAATCCCACTAATTACTTGTAACGTTTTCCATGTATTTTGCATAGGAAAAAATTGATTTCGTCCAATTTCCTTGTAAAAACAGGATTAAAATATACTGCTTTAGTATGTTCTGTACAGTTTTATAAACTATTTATGCACCAAGTTATTTGCAGTCCATGATTTGTTAGCTACAGTGCAATTAATCCTAATAATTACTACATATTTTATAAAGAAAAGTAATGTTATTGGTAATTGTTATTTTGTCAGTTCTTTACACTAGGCATCGCACAAGGCAAAAACATAAAACTATTAATCAACATAAATCAGTACATGGATTCCACTTCTAGTAATACTATAAAAAGTTTCTTCACCACTTGGTTTTGGTATATCTTACAGTGTGTATGACCCGTTTGTTTCTCTAGTAACATTTGAATTTGTTTTTAAATGTTGCAGTTTGTGTTTCACTATAGTTACAAGTTCTTATACACCTGTTGAAACTTATTTCATGTCATATTCTTATTTATAACTACTGTTTATTTCCTTTCTCCTTGATTGAATATCTTCTGTCAGTTTGGTAACAAAATCTTATGCATAACCAACTTTGATACTCAGGTAATCAAGTACATGGTCTTTAATAAATCTTTTATGACAAAATTTCAAAAAGAAAAAAAAGTGACCAACAAAACTGAAGAAAAATTTGTAAATCATCCAACATTTGTATCTTAATCCATTCTGGTAACTGCATGCTTTGATTTTAATGTTTGTCTTAACCCTATACAGTAGCACTTTTTTTTTTTAAGTGTGGAAAAAAAATGTTAGGTTTAATATCCTCCATTGCTTTCCCAGCTTTCAAGAATTACCACTACCAAATATATTTTGTTGGCGACTTCTAACCATTAAAAAAAATAAAAAGACGAATAATATTTATGTATACCAATCAATTCCAGTAAAAAAACAAGACTGTAATATTATGCACATTGCAAAAGTACTAAGTTTATCTTAAGCTTGTTTTCCAAATTTATGGCTATTTTGAAATTGTCTTCCTGCTGTTAAGTATTAAAAAAAGAAATAACTTCTTTGAATATATTTGTTACAGAAAATCTTGTGATGTTCTAAAGCAGTTGGATTTAGCTTCATTGTCAAAAGTAAAATTATGTGTAGATTACAATCAGTTCATTACTAATGCAAATAATACAATTTACTTTTTTTAATGGAAATATTGGTTAAGCTTATCAAAGCTATGCTTGAAAGTTGCCAAAACAATACAGTGATATTATGACTAAACTGCTTCATAATATCAAACCAATAAGCATACAATATTGAAATGCTTTTCCAAATTAATATTGTGCTTGCAAACTTAAACTTAATGATATCAGACATCAATTAAAGTAACCCAATAAATAAATTCCCGAATTTTCCCAACATGATACAATCAGCAAAAGCTACATCTGGATACTTATATTCTGGTAAACATATTTTCTGAACCTTCTTTTTACTATTTTTTATGAAAGATAAAACATTCCTATATCCATGAAAATCAAGCATTTACAAAACATTTTTAAAAATGTTAAATTTCATACGTAATTTGCTAATCTTGCAATTAGTTCACCAGTGAATAAATATGTAAATTTACCTCTATTATATTAATTTCAAATACAACTACAGAGCTATATTGGATCTTACAAAAGTTTTATTCCAAATAGTAACAAAAATACTTTTAAGAATTATACAATGAATCTTAAAGTAGAATGGAGCAGGCACTGTTTTTCAAAACCTATCTATAACTTACCAGTAATTTTAAAATAACTTCAATTCACATTCATTAATAACAATAGCACTATAACTTCGTATACATGTTATCAAAAGCAGAGTACTTCATTAACACTAATAATACAATACTCTGATTTTAATAACACATACATAAGGTTATAGCATGCTATAAACTTCTTAAGTTACTTGGTTTTCAGATGAATTATTTTTAGCAAGCTTTTCTGATTTTGACAATAATTACAGTTTTATCTGAGACAAATTTTCATTCCTAAATTATATATGAGCTTCTGAATGGTTTTACTTCTTCAGAACAAAGAAGTAACTAAGTTTACTCATACATTTATATATAAAACAGTATCATACATCTTTCTCAGATCAAGAATATTATGTTATCAGCAACCATAACTTGGTTGGCATCTTGCATCTTCTCTAACGCTAAATTTACTTCCTCTGCAGTGAAGGGATCTGTCTGTATTTCTTCAGGAAGGAACTCCATCAAACGAGACATAGCAAGAGATTGAGCATGCTCTTTCTTAAAAAGCTTCACAAGCAAAGACCTGAAAAGTTTCAACCTATAACAAGAAAAAAAAACAGTGAACAAAAATGATGATATTACCGAGTCACCATCAGTATATGCATTACATTTACACTAAAAGGCTACACTATGTTTTCAAGTGTAGCCCTTATAAATTTAGAAGTCATCAGCTGTATACATTTTTTGATATTTGCCTACAAGTAGCTCAAAGGTTAGCACGATGGCTTATAATGCTAAAATTTAGGGTTTGATCCCTGCAGTGAATACTGTGCAGATATCCCATTGTGCAACTTTGCACGTTAAAGAAAACAAACTGTCAGACTTGGAACAAGTAAAATGAAACAGGTTATATCATTGTTAGAAATAAGCTTATCTATTTCTTTTCTCATATTGAACATTGTTTGGATTAACTTAATACATACAACGTGGAATATTATGCTTGGTGGGAAACATCCAAGTTGCTTCTTCATTTCACATACATTTTTAAATAAGAAAAAATTGTATTAAAAAAAATTAACCAATAATAAGATGTACCTTTCTTCTGGCAGAACAACAGTGGTACTTGAAGGAGCTTCATCTTTTTTATCCTTTTCCTGACTATCATGCTGTCTTGGTTGTCTACTATCTGTTGCTAATAAAGAGGAAAACAATGGATGATTAACTGATAGGTAAGCTGTTTCTTCATTATATAGAGACTTTTAAACACTATTTATATGTATTTTAAAAGAAATATTCTGTTACATCAGCAGACATCTTCGATTTTAGAGCAACACTCTAAAAGCATACGTACTGTAATCCTGAAAAATTCAAAGCATCATTTAAGCAACAATATTTAAATATTTATTCAAATGTTGTTGAATATAATTAAGAAATCAACAGAAACTTGTCCAGGGTTAGGAAAAAAACATCAAATTCAAACTTGTTACGTGAAAAAGAAAAAGGATAAATATATCCTGTATGACATATAATTGGACATTAATTACAAAATTAATGTATGGAATTTTACTCCCCAATATTTCTGTATTAACTATTACTTTACAGTGTGAATCCAACTGAGTTATGACTTGCTTAGAAGTGGAAGTGTACAGATAACATATTGGACTGAGAGTTAAGTAGTGGATAAAATATGCTTGTATAAAATAAACACAAGAGTACATAAAGCACCAAATCTTTACAGATATAAAACCACCAATGACACATGGAACTACAATGCTGAAGCTATACAGAACTGGTCATGCAAAAGACTGACAAATTATTCATTTAAAATGCTAACAAGACTTAACATAGTGATGAAAAAAGAAATTTGTCTTGAAGTAAAGATTACGTATCTTTTGAGGAAAATGTACAACACTCAGTGTAACAGTTAAATAATTACCACGAGTTTCTCTCTCTTCAGAGGCATCAAAATCATAAGGATCATATCCTTCATCTCCGGGCTTTCTCTGTGGATGACGATCAGCTGTGTCTGTAACTCGTCTGTGAACCAAAAATCTGAATGTTGACCAAATTATACTTCACATGCAACTGAATGAATAAATATTACAAAACATATACAGTTTATAGCAGCTAAGTCGTGTTACTTCTAGACTTAACTTCTACAGTTTTTATGCAGTCAAAAAGCAATGATTATTAAAGTTCAAAGAGCTCTAGCCACCACTCACAATACACCCCCCACCTCTCAAAGTATTTTACAATATAATAAAGTTACCTCTGAATAAAAATGAACTGTTAATGTTAAGAAAACTTTATTCATATGACACCAGAAATTATGAAACTACAAACTCTTTTAATTTGAAAATTATTCTATTTTCAAATATATAAGTTAAGAAATGATGGGAAAATTATGCAAAAAGAAAGAAACTGTACGTTTTTTTTGTTTTCTTTGGTCGTTGTTCTTCATCTTCACTTTCATCTTCATCATCTTCACTTCGATGACGTTTCTTGGGTTTCTCCATTACTTTTTTGAAACATGCAAACTGTAAGAGTTCTATAGCAGCTTGTGCATCTTCCAGATCAACAGATTTGGAGAAACGAGCCTTGGCGTGAGCAGTTGCAATACGAATCAAGGTTTCTAAACTACGAGCTGTAACTGGTTGTGTCTGTAAGAATTAAAACGTCTGAAAACTTCTTAAACAAAAGGAAACTTCCCCACCAATACCATCACTATATTTGAAACTACTTATAAGCAAAATGACGTGTTTGAATAAAAAAACAATCGTTGAAGAAGTGGACGGTGTTGAAAAATGTGTAACTTAACCATCAGATGATGATGATTTTCATTAGATTCCAGTAGCTTTCAAAGCTGTGAACATATCTATAATTAGTTAGAAACCTTAACCTACACGAGATATCTATATACTACTAAAACTGAGACTGTTTGTGTGTATGTGCTTGTCTGTAATTAAATACAGCAAAAACGGCACACATTAGTGCCATATTTGTAATGGAATGAGAATAGAAACAGAACAAAACAAGTTTCGTTAAAATCGGGCCACGGGTTAATGAGTTAGCCCCATTTTTCGGGTGACTTTTATGAAAATTTCTAGATGAATTTAGGTACACTAGATGGCGCCATATATCGGCTTATCTATCTATCTATTCGTTTTCCACCCGATGAATCACTTTAAAATATCTTCTATACAACATATGCAAAACAGAAATTAAATGAAGAGATGAAAATATGTTATAACGGCACATAGAAAGAACAACAATAAAATGGACTCACAATATTATTGACTATTTGCAAATAGTAACTATGGAGATGAGCTAATAAAGTAAAAATCAAGTCAAGAACAACAAAATTTTATAAACGAAAACCTCTCGCCGAGCATTGGCTATTACATTATTTCCCTGCCAATGTTCCCATCTGCATTAAAAGGCGTAAGATGACAAAAACAAGATCTTGAAGAATCTATCTATATACTAAAACTCAGATTGTTTGTTTGCTTATTTTCTCAGTCAAAAAATCATTCACACTACCGTTTGCGCTCTT